TAAATCTTCATTCTCTTCAGATTCGATCAATATATAAATATATATAAAAAAAATCCCTCAGCCGCCGATTAAAAAGTTTTTTTTTTTTTTTAATTATAGAAACACTTTAGTTTGGAACAGTTTGATGTGGAACAAGTTTTCAGTGATGGCAACACAATGATCATGTTTATACAATAGTTACAATAGAAAGAATACAGATTATGAATATATTTATATGGATATATATGGACAATCAGTAATAAAGGACATGGGACAATAAGCGATTCTATAATCCATATAGTATATATATATGTATATGTATGTTTGAGGTATGATCTTAACTTAACCGGGGGACGTAGTTACAGTGCCAGCATTGAGACATGGAGATATACATGGATTGAAGTTTGATTCGATTTGCGACTCACCTTAGCTGATGATGTTCGCTGTTTGATGGCAGATGCATGGGCCGAGTGTGTGCTGAGAACGTTCTTGTTGACGGAACTGGCGCCAACACCACCCACGCCGCCCCCAACGCCGCCGACACCACCGCCCGGTGGATGATGATGATGGTGATTGATCGCTGATGATGATGGTGGTGGTGGACCACTGTTGACTGTGCTGGCATTATTGCTCGATAGTCGTCCACCGTCTGTGGCCATATTGTTGGCGACATGATGATGATGCTGATGGCTGTGCTGGTGGTGCGACGCGTGGTTTGTGTTTGCTGTCGTTGGTGGTGCGGCATTTGTTACTGTTGCTGCTGCTGCTGCCACAGGTGTGCTTGTGGTTGTATTATTGCTACTGCTGGCTGAATTCGAGGACGAGATTGGCAACATTGTCGTATTTCCAGCTGTTGTTGCTGACGCCGCCGCCGCCGCTGCCGCTGTGGTTGCTGCTGCTGTTGTTGTTGTTGATGTTGCTGTTGCGGCTGGTGTTGCTGGTGTTGGTGGTTGTGGCAGTGAGACAATGTTGGCATTGGCTGAGTCATGCTGCTGCTGCTGCTGATCCTTTACAGAATGCGCGGAGCTACTGATTGTGTTTGTTGTATACGTTGTTGTGCTAGCAGCGGCTGTCGTTGTGGCATTTGATGCCGTCGACGTCGACGTTGGCGTTGCAGCCGTCGCAGTCGCCGTCCCATTTGAGACATTCTCTGCAGGCAGGGCTTCAGGAACTGTTTGCAAAGTTGTTCGCATTGCTGTAGACATATTTCTAGCCAAATCTCTTCTCTATATTTATCTCTCTCTCTCTCTCTCTCTCTCTCGGTCCCTCTCTCTATTTCTCTCTATTACTATTTGACGCAATATTCTGCAATAGAACAGAGGCCAACTAATCTCTATTCCTCCAGTGGATCGCTTCCAACTCCTGCGCCTCCTGTCAAAGTACTTGCCGTTCTTGTTTCCTTAATATCTTAAATTTTAATTTACTTCCTAATAACTCCGCAGCCGCTTTTCATCTGAAATGGACAAGAAAGGAAATTAGTTTTATTTTTTTATTCAGCTATTAAATTAATATAAAAATAATATTATGCTAATCTTTAAGCACAAACAATACAAATCCTTTACAAAATTTTAATAGTTAATAAATTTTATAAAAATTTTATTCGAGGACATTCTCAACAATCCGTAGAAAGGGCGAAAGAATTTTGTTCTTCGAAATGTAAGCCAAAGTTTGCTTGCTATAAAACAACTATGTGTTAATTAATTTATAGCAGAAATTCCAAAAAATAAATAGTAGAAAAGTTATCGAAAAGCTTCCCATTATTAACAAAAACAAAAGATAAAAAAACTATATTCCTTTTCTGTTTTTTCTCTTATACAAAACCCTAATTAATTTATTTTATTCGAAACATAAAAGTTTTATATATTTCTTCCAATAGGGCAACCAGAGAATTAATTATTTCCCATACATGCTTGGCTTATCTTTGCAATATATGGAAAATACAAATATTTTTGTTTGCTTTATGAAAAATCAAAATATTTATAATCAAAATGTTCTTATCAATACAAAAACAAATTCAAATTAGGTCAAGCTTTGTGTTTTCCCAAAAATCAGAGGGCGTGAATACAAGGTACAAAATATTTAACAAAATAAGAAATCTTTTAATATTTTTATAGCAAAGTTTCCATCAAATTCATGGGATACAAATATCAAAGCTCAGCGGCCTTTTTAACCCTACGGTCTACTAGGTCACGCCAACTTTTGTCCTGACAGATGACAATTTATGTTCAATCAACAAGAGACGGAAATCAAATGTCGTGGCATTAGGTTATTTAGTAAGGAGCGGCGCAGGTGCACATGTCCGAAAAGAGAAATTTAACAAATTAAGCTAAAAATACATTGGAAGCTATTAAACTGTTAGACATATTGATTTTTGTACGCTTAACGCACATCTTAGTTGAATAAATCATGAAGGTTTATAAGGTTTAATTATAGATATATATAAAATTTATTTATAAGTATTCAAAACATTCTGGCAAACTATGATGAATTGTAAAATCAATTCTTTACAAAAAGGAAAATCAAAATAATACAAAGTATTAACATAAACTAATTCCAAAACTGAAACAAATTCTTTGCATTAACTATGGAATTTCTTATCATTTTAATAAACATAAAAATGTATAGTTTTGGGCTTATGGAACCTGCTTAAGGGAAAAACAATATGGGTTTAACAAGGCTCAAAGTTGTACAAAATTATATTAACAAAATATTACAAAAAAATATCTATTTTAATTCTGTATGCAAACAAATCAATTTTATGTGTCAAGACCTATCTCTAGGTAATTTACATTATATATTAATAGTTGATAATGTATTCGCATCAATATCATATAAACAAATTTCTATTGATTTTAGTGGGTATATAGTAGGGACTTAGAAAATCAATAACACTCTCGATTTCAGCTTTCAGCTGGACTTGCTGCAGCCTGCACAGCTCCTGCCTGACACCCAAACTAAGATTACTGCGCGACAAAATATCAACAATCTTCTTATTGTCGTGCTGAGTGAGAGGAACCGAGCGATTGGAAATGCTATCGATTTCGGATGGATGCAGGCCAATCCAACGGAGCGTTGGTGTGGCCAAACTCTTGGCCGAGAAACTCATGGCCTGCGAGCCGAGCTGGTAAACAAGCATTATTTCAATGCCAAACGGATCAGCATCCACTAGGATATATGCCGGTAAATTGCATTCGACGGTCAGTCGGTATACAATACGGCGTGTAGTGCAATCCGGATACCCCTTGCCCGTTAACAATATGAAACGTAAGCCAAACGTGCTCAAGGCATTACAAGCCAGCAAGCTCTCAAAAACTGACTCTTTTTCAACGATCAAAACCATTTCGGCATTTGTCACGATTCGTTCCACATTTTCGAAATCCGTTGGCAATGTTATAGCTCCGCAATATACATTGCAATCCAATACATCGCCGTTGCTCATGAGCAGCTTTATGTCTCCTACAATTGAGAGAAATGCCCATTAGTTACATTTTTCGACAAAATACAAAACAGAAGATATCAATACTTTACAATACTTCACACCTGTAATTAGTCCCTTCGACGCTGACAAAATGCCCAGATTAACAGGTGCCGTGTTTAGCATACGGCAAACATCCATTTTAGCGGCATCAATGTAGGACTGGGACCGAACCACCTGAGTGTTCCGATAATACAGACCCCGTATCGTGCAACTACCTCCGGTCAAATGCAATTGATGAATCTCCGCAAGGAGATAGACAATCAGGCAAAAGCGATGACGACTACGTTTGACACTGTATACGACCTTACGACATTTGCCAACTATATCGTAGTTGTCTTTCGTATACCAATCACGACAGCTATTTGGTATTTCTAGCGTTACTTTCTTACAGGACATCAAGCTCGTTATCAAATCCAATACAATCTGCTCTACAGTAAGCAATATATCACTATTATCTGAAGACATCTTCTGGTATAGAAGTTATAGCATAGGAAGAGGATAATGAAAATATTAATGGACCAAGATTGGGAGCGAAAAATTCAATGACAATTTAAATGGCTCTTTGACGACAAACGGTTAAATGAGTTTTTATTTAACTAACAATTAAATGAGCAATCAACAACAGTCATCAATGTGAGTACTTTTATCTTATTAAACAATTTACAGCTGCAACAGCTGAAGACTTTGTTGACAAACTTTGAAAAACTTATAAGCAATTCAATTTAGTGATTTTAATTTGTATAAAATTGTTGACACGAGTATTTCATCTGTTATGTTTATTAATTTATATATATTATATATCTGTTGATGCAATAATTTGTATTTGTTATATTTCGTAATTTATCATTATAATTTTCTCTTATCTCTGAGGTTTTTTTTTTTATATAATTATTATACATTTGTTTGTTATAATTATTAGTGTATTACTATATTTCTGTTGATATATTTCGTATGTTGTTAATTATCAATCATTGTATGAAACTGTTTCGTTTAGCACCTAAGTGCGTGCTATAATATTTAAAATGTGTTTCTTTTTTATTCAAAATAAACATAACTCAAACAAAGAGTCTGAAAATTAGTTGAAGCAGTAGATAAATTCACACACACATACATACAAATATGTATGTACATATAAAGATATATACAAAATATATTTGCGTCACACACCCTTTTATTATTTGGCTATTTTTCCTGCAACTAAACTAAATATATATATCATATTATATATACATACGGAATAAGAATGTTATATATATATACTTATATAAATACATATACACAATGTATATATATAAACATGTATAGTTTTTTGTATTGAAATTGACTTAGGTCTGGGCAATTCTTTCGCCTATTTTTTCCGTATATGAAAGCTATTAAATTTTAATACAAATACTTCCGAAAAGGTAATAACTTAAGTACATTTCAGTTAACACAGGCACACACATATGCACACGCACACAGTTACATTAAAACCGATGTACACACATTACTTTTGTAAATTTCTTTATTCAGGCTTTTTCATCTTTTTTTTTTTCTTTATATGCCCAGAAAATTGTACTCGTTATTACAAAGCACGCAGAGTTTATTTTCTTGTGCCACGGGGGCTGACAGGGCGTGGGGCTAAAGCGAAGGTAGACGACAGCGACAGCGGCGCAGCGGCAGCGAATGGAAGAGAAAAACTAGCGAAACACAGCGCAAACAGCGAAATGGCAGCCCCCTAAAATATTGATTTGCTGCTCTTCTTCTTGCTCTTGCTCTGTGGTTCGCCCATAGCGCTTAGCCCAATATACGAGAGAATTCACCATGTTACTTACCAATAAAAATAATTCCTGAATAAACAATATTAGGTCATAGATTTGCAATATATTGGCATGAGAGTTTTGAAAGTTAGACGCGTTCCATTGCCATATGCCTTATTTCATTCATATAACACACATTATTACTTAATTTTTTTTCTTTTTCTTTTTCTTTCGAATTTTCAAACGCAAAGTGGTAGTGGAAAAGAAAGACCGACTTTTACCGAGCAGCCAGTCGACGACACTACACAACGAAATGCAAATGCATACATACATACATATGTATGTATCTTTCTCACTCGCTCACTCTCACAGCAGCAATATATGTATTTCTCAATAAGATTTTTTCTTTTCGTTTCTTTTTTTGATAAAAACCGTTTTTCAAGTTATGGAACTAAAATATCGCGTTTTTTACAATCTAATTTGGCTCACAATGACTTTTTCGTCTAAATATACTGTTTGTATTTAAAAAGCTACATTGTCGTAAAATCAATTCAGCGATAGAAGACAATCTAAGTAACTTGATATAGCGCTATATGAGTTAAGTCAGTTATAGTTTTATTATCGGACGTTGCAACAATTGAATAAGTTATTTATTTGTTGCACTTAGCAGATTACAGTTATAATCTTTTCAACCACATACACTATGGCAAAGCAGCAGCATACGTCGTCCAAAAAAATCACATTAAAATCAGGCAGCCATATTGTAGAGTTGCTAATAGTCGATCGATACATCGGTATTTTAATAACAAACTTAATCGATTAACTACAATTAAAATAATTATACAAATAAACAACAACAAAGCTACAGGCAATTATCGATACAACTTTTTTAGTCGGAACAAATTGTTATTGGTGTTGCTATATCGTCATCATTTCTTAACTACCAATTATTTGAACGATTAACAGCCAGTGTCCGCACTCGTTAGAAATTTATATTCAATAAATGAATTGCTCAGATTAAATATTTGTTATTATAATGAAAAAAGTTAAAATATTAATTAAACTTACCCCAAAAAATAAAGGAAAAAATCATCTTTATTCACATAGCTAACTGTTAATATCGAAATAATATAATGCGAATAGCACTGATATTTTTTGTTATCAAACAGTGCCGATTCTTTAACAACTTTCCCATATGTACAAATAACTATGACTCTAGTTCTTTTGCATATTCAATTTAAGACATGTTAACATTATATATTTATAATACATCATTTATTTGGGGAATACCTATATTAATGTTTCCGCGACTATCGACTACAAATCGATAACACGTATCGCTGGCGTAGGCTGACACTGAACTGTAACACGCCTTTTTCCTTTCTTTCCTACATACCATAATGGCGGTAGGTTTTCTGAAATTCTTGTCAAGTGTAAATTATTAAACATCTACATTATTCGTGCAATATTATTGTAAACTATGAATGTAGACTTGATGTTATTCGATTCGATGTGTTGATTGACATATTATTTTGCGTTTAAACCATATATTGATGAATCAAAATAAACCTTTTTTAGGCTGTTGCTAAGAAGGAACCTAAAATCAAGCGCGATCCCGCGAAAAACCCTATGCGCGATCTGCACATCAGGAAGCTTTGCCTCAACATCTGCGTAGGTGAATCCGGTGATAGGCTTACCCGTGCCGCCAAGGTAAGAATCCTAAAAATACAATCGTAAATATGCCGAACAAACAAACCTAAATTTCTCAAAATTTCATTGTTAGGTTTTGGAGCAGCTGACGGGACAACAGCCAGTGTTCTCGAAGGCCCGCTACACAGTGCGTTCTTTCGGTATTCGTCGTAATGAAAAGATCGCAGTGCATTGCACAGTGCGCGGCGCTAAGGCCGAGGAAATCTTGGAGCGTGGCCTGAAAGTGCGCGAGTACGAGTTGAGACGCGATAACTTCTCGGCCACTGGCAACTTTGGCTTTGGTATTCAAGAACATATTGATTTGGGCATCAAGTACGATCCCTCAATCGGTATCTATGGCTTGGACTTCTACGTTGTGTTGGGACGTCCAGGTAAGAATTACATGCCAATCGGAATCCAAGTGGATGCTGCACATAATTAGGTGTCCATTTCCAATACGAAATTGATGCTCAGTAACTGTGCGCATATTAATGAAAGTGTGCTTAAATGGATTTGTTTCAATACAAACTCAAACGGTACAATTGCAACAAAATTAATTACTCCGCGCAACTATTGTGAATGGTCTTGTTAATTATTGTATTTTTATATTTTTTAGGTTACAACGTGGCTCACAGAAAGCGCAAAGCTGGCACCGTCGGTTTCCAACATCGTCTGACAAAAGAGGATGCCATGAAGTGGTTCCAACAGAAGTATGATGGTATCATCCTGAATAGCAAGAAATAAACGCATTTCGCGACGATGTTTTAAGATGAAGATGAATTCTGTAATAAACCCGTCATCGGAGAAATTTCTTAATATTAAAGTCTTCGCTTGCGCGAGACAATATTTTATTTCTAATTGGTTTGAACTTGGTTATGATAGATGTAAGAGAAGGCAATTGGAATATGAATTGAGCTTTGGATTAGACATGTTAAAGGCAGACTTACGTCTATTACGAGGAACCAGTATATTGAGTATTTCTAAATATCCTACCTTTTCGTAAAGCCCTTGGTACTCCAATAACATTTTTTAGTTTCTATGGATATATCGGATATGGAAAACGTTTAGTATAAAAATTCCTATGGTTGTACCCGGATTCACAAATCTTTTACCTGAAACGTTGTTCAAAGTTGAGGTAGGTTGGCTGGTAAGTTTCTATATTATGCTATTGGATTACTACATTATAAAGCTGGCATAGAATTTATCCAAAATTAACCTTTTTTTTCGATTTTTAATATATTGGCAGAACAAATTCTTATCGTATTAAAAGTTTACTATATCTTTGAATGCATAAACAAAATCTTATCAGTAACGGACTTTAATATCTAAAGCTGTTCAAAAATTTCTACTAATTTCAATATTTAGAACTGGATTAATGTTATTTTTATTCGACATTAGTATTTAGTATTTAAACATATTTTCAGTTACATAACGTCCATATCTCTCCGGCTTACCAAACCAAGTTATTTTTATTGCATTTCATCAGATTTCAAAGTTAATGACACAGAATTTCTGATATTATTTATATACACATATAAAGGTTCATTCATATACTACACTACTTATTAACCAGACTCGTAAAGTATAACTACATTATTAGGCAAAAAAAAGAAAGAAATTCGAAATGGAACAATACGAGATTACTTAATGTCCTTGGAGACCATCTTCATTTTACTACCCTTTCTGTTGCTTAATAATGCGAAACGGATTTGTTGAACCAGCCATTGTATGCCCTCGTCTAGACCTTCCCCGGAGATGGCGTTGCTGGAGCAGATGTGCCAAGGTTTGTCCTTGATGTTTTCCAAACCCAAAGCTGAAAGAGATTACAATACAGGATTATATAAATCATTACTAATTTATATTTATATGACTTTAGTTACCCGCTGCAATTTTTACATTAGATAGCGAATCCTCTAGGTCCGATTTGTTTCCATAGAATAGTATGGGTAATATTCGATTACGCAGATCGGGATGCTGCAGCACCAGATCCAATTCATCTTTGACAACCACTAAAAAGGAATATAATTTTAAATTATATATGTATATATTTTTATTGTTGAAAACATACCGAATCTCATTCTATCGCTTGAATCGATTACGTAGATAATTCCCTGACAATTTTTAAACTGGTGCTCCCATAAATTTCTATAACGTGTAGCTCCAGACATATCAATAGCCTTTATGCAAACGCCCATGTCTGCAAAATGAGAATTATTAAAGGATGATGTATTTTGTATAGCAAAACTTACTGTAAAATTGCTCAATGAGAAACCCCACTGTTGGCACCATGATAGCAGACTGTTCGTTTGACTTCTTGAAATGGTTAATTATCGTCGATTTGCCACTGTTATTTAGGCCCAGGACAAGTATCGTCATTTTGTCCTTTTTGACTTTGATCAAGCCCGTCAAATTGTGCAGCATGCCCATATTGCGACTCTATGTAAACTTAAAGAACTTAAAAATGAAAATAGAAAATAGTTTTACTATGTTTGGCCCTGTCGATGTGTCAGTTGGTAACTATGGAAACGTTCGCTAGACATCGATTTATTGTGGCGCGCTTTGTCCTTCAAAATTGATGAAGGCCGCTGTTAAAAGTGACTGTAAGTTCACTGTTAAATCACTGTCAGTCGTTCCAAGAGCAGCTCCATCGTATAGAGTATTTATAAATGGATTTGCGTGTGACGTCAGAGCTTTGCTACACTTTCCGCCCTCAGCAACTCCGTCAAGTTTAAGTTCAAGCACCAAGGTGTGAAAGAGATTTCAAAGCACTGCTCAAAAACAGTGCCGTTACTTTGACCGTCTACGAAAAAACAAACTTGTAGCGTCACAAAGCCGGTGTTCACTACGCTAGCAACTTAGAAGTACGCTGGTTTGGTTAGAATTCTTATAAGAATAACAAAAATTAAAAACATGATGTTTAATTGAATCTATTGTTAAGGCTAAATTCGTCTATGTTTTATACACATTTTCACTATGGGTATATTTATCTATATACGTTTATATATTATGGCTGCAATAAAGATTAATGCGCGCGAGTCCTTTTATTTTCGATAAGGTGACGTCCCGCTGTAAAAGTAACGTGCATGACCTTGTATTTGCCTTTCCTATTGATAGCGCCTTCAATCAAGGTTAATAATAGCGTTTCATTAGCTCATTTACACAACAGGTTGTAAAATGTCGTTTAGATATTCATAAACATTTGTAACTTTAACGCTTTTGGGACCTTACTTACATTCGCCTCGGCATCAATTACATCTTTTTAGGAATTAACAGTAACAGTAAAACTACATTTGTATATACAATTACAGCAAACCATATTACATTTTTATTCATTTTGAAAATTTGTTATTTAACATTATTAAGTTAACCAATAACTTAGCAATCTAGAAAATTAGCTGCCATTAAAAGTTCTAAGGCAATTTCTGGTGCAATCGGAAATTCTGGTATTTCGGTTGAACTATTGGTGTATCGAACTTTATATGTGAAGTACATGCACACCTTCTGTAAGACATGCGATCTGCAAAGGGAATGAAAAGAGATATATTAAATATCAATCAATTTTGTAATATTTGATTAAAGACTAGCACAAGCTAGAAATCAAACTATATGCAAGCAATAAGGCTTTCTTGTAATATTAATGTTGAAGAAATATCGTTGAAAATAAACTTAAATTATTATTATTAGCAAAGATCAGTTAATCGACCATGTTAGATCTGCAAAGCTGATACATTCTTTATAAATACCGCGAATATCAATCTGACTTGACAATGAACTAATAAGACTAATCTAGCAAATTCTCTGAATTTTTCAAGCTATTATCTATGATTCTCTCTTTCAGTTCCATAGACGGGGAAGAGTGTAAAGATGCTAAAAATATCATAAGCTTCTACACTCTCTTCGTTCTCTGTGGAACGGAAATAATATATGTATAATAATAGTTGACATAAACTTAAAAAAATAAAAATAAATATTTATGACGATCAACAATAATATAATATATGGAAAATATTGAGCAATTAAAAATTCTTGGAATAAAAATTTCTATTTGTAGCTCTTGATTGAAAAAGACTAACTTAGCTTCATATATTGTATTTAATAAACATTTTTCTAAATCATTGTATTTGTCAATTTCTAATGTGCATGTGATGTATATTAATTCTATTTATGTCTGGTATATACATATACTAATTCTATATATAAAGTGATAATACTACTAATTGTATTACTAAAGAAGCATTATTTTTCTAGCCGCACGAATATTACAAAAATTTAACCCTTCAATGAGCTAAATACACACACACACACACACGCACATACATGTATTGCACACATACATACATATGTTTATTTGTATGCAATTTAACCCGTACGTACGTATGTGTTCATGGGTCAAATATATGTATGCTCGTTGGTGTGTGCATGTATGTATGTACATGGAAAAATATTGGCACTCCCTTGACCGGTCATTAGCACACATTTGATTTAAAGGAAAGTACTAAGCGCACTTCGTTGGCATCACAAAATGGGACTTACGGAATCTCCCGAAAGTGCACTTCGTTAGCCTCGTTTTCCGCGAATTGTCCTGGGCCAGATAACATTGCCTTAATTGTGCCAGAGGTGAGAGCATGTTCCCGTTTTACAATAAATTCGTGTCCATCTGACGAAATCAGTTTGACGTACATGGCGTCTGGCCCCTCGCAACCGCCATAGACTTTATCGCCGCGCTGCTCGTCCATTGCTATCATCTAAAAAATTTACTTACTATACTTTTTTTTCGCAATATAAACTATTTTATTTATTTTCTGTCTTACTTGCCAAAACTCAGTCTGTGACAACACTCAAAATCGTACATATACAATTCAGTGCTGTATAGTGGCTAAAATACTTAATTTCAAATTTCTTCATACCATCATGCAAAACTGGAAGTACTAAAGTTAGTAATCTATATTGATTTTACTTCTTTATATGAATGTTATTTATTTATTTATTTATTTTCTTGTGTAAATTAATTATTTTCTTCAGTCAGAAGTATAGAAATCATGAATGTTTGTGTATCAATTACGGAATTGAATGTGTTTTCGATCATTTTATTCGATACATTTTTATTTAGCAATCGTTTATGTGTGGCCCATCCCTATAAAATACCGAGAAGCAGCTGTTTGGGTGGGGAAAATGCCGCTAATAGTAACATCATGCAATTAAACAATTTTATCTACATGATGAATTATAATTATTTTCTAAAGAAACATCTTTAACTAAATAGTATAGTAGATGAAATAGTTAGCTATTCTACATATCACAGCATAATACTGCACAATGGATTTTACCCTTTGAATGCCCTCTGTCATGCGCAAACCAATGCTAATTTCAAATTATCGATGTTTCTTCCCATTTCTCCTACTTTCTGTAATGTTAGTATATTAGATAAGCCCACAAATAGTTAATCTGTTTCCTTCTATAATAAAATATAGTTCGAGCTACAGAGCATTTAATAAACTTCTTGATTGCTGTGAGTGCACCTAACTAAACAGATAAACGTGTTGCCGAACAGCTTTCACGCTGTATAATCAAATGTAGCAAACAAAAATAAATGCGAATAATTATTTTCAAAAATTAAACAAGATTTTCTTTTATATTTTTTTGTAAGAAGAAATCGTTTCGACTTTATTGGTTACGTTAAAAGAACAATCACTGCAAACTTAATTTTTGTTCTCATTTTACTTGACGCAACTTTCGAGAATTTAGTTCTCATCCACCTCAGCCTCTTGTTCTTCTTCGAATTCAGCATCCTCATCGGCGGTAGCCTCCTGGTATTGCTGATATTCAGAGACCAAGTCGTTCATGTTGCTCTCAGCCTCGGTGAACTCCATCTCATCCATACCCTCGCCAGTGTACCAATGCAAGAAAGCCTTGCGACGGAACATAGCGGTGAATTGCTCAGAGATACGCTTGAACAGCTCCTGGATGGCAGTCGAGTTTCCAATGAAAGTAGCAGACATTTTCAGACCACGGGGCGGGATGTCACAGACAGCGGTCTTCACATTGTTGGGGATCCATTCAACAAAGTATGAGCTGTTCTTGTTCTGGATGTTCAGCATCTGCTCGTCAACCTCCTTCATGGACATGCGTCCACGGAAGATGGCAGCGACGGTCAGATAGCGGCCATGACGAGGATCGCAGGCAGCCATCATGTTCTTAGCATCGAACATCTGCTGTGTCAGCTCAGGCACTGTCAGCGCCCTGTATTGCTGGGAGCCTCGAGATGTCAGGGGTGCAAAGCCAGGCATGAAGAAATGCAGACGTGGGAATGGAACCATATTAACTGCCAGTTTGCGGAGATCAGCATTCAGTTGGCCAGGGAAGCGGAGGCAAGTTGTTACGCCAGACATTGTCAACGAGACGAGATGGTTCAAGTCACCATAAGTTGGGGTTGTCAGCTTGAGGGTACGGAAGCAGATGTCATAGAGCGCCTCGTTATCGATGCAGTAGGTCTCATCTGTGTTCTCGACCAACTGATGCACCGACAGGGTAGCATTGTAGGGCTCAACAACGGTGTCCGACACCTTTGGCGAGGGCACCACTGAGTATGTGTTCATGATTCTATCGGGATATTCCTCACGGATCTTGGAGATCAGCAGGGTACCCATGCCGGAACCGGTGCCGCCTCCAAGCGAGTGTGTAAGTTGGAAGCCTTGCAGGCAATCGCACGATTCAGCCTCTTTACGCACAACATCGAGCACTGAATCGACGAGCTCAGCGCCTTCTGTGTAATGACCCTTGGCCCAGTTGTTGCCGGCACCAGATTGACCGAACACAAAGTTGTCGGGTCTGAAGATCTGGCCAAAGGGACCCGATCGCACGGAGTCCATGGTGCCAGGCTCCAAATCAACGAGCACAGCGCGAGGCACATATTTGCCTCCGGACGCCTCATTGTAGTATACATTGATACGTTCTAATTGTAGGTCGCTGTCGCCATGGTAAGCGCCGGTAGCATCAATGCCGTGCTCATCGGAAATAATTTCCCAGAACTGAAATGAAAGTAAAAGACGTTTATTTAATTTTAAAATTTCCAAAAATTAATTCACTTTTTATTTTATATCTACTAAACCTTCTTTTATAGAAAATAAATCTATTTAAAATAATTGTTTATTTAATATGATTTATTTCAATTAGTACCAGCCCTTTTAAAGTAACTAAATCAATTTCAAACAATTGTTCTCAAACTCTGCTTTTTCATTCTTTCCGAACAGATGTTCGTTGAACTTTGTATCCATTAAAGGGGCACTAATAATAGAAAGCTGTATTTAGACACAAAGTCAATAAATAAATATTTTATCAGACTTATGGTGGGCTTAAACCGACAACAACGGAAACATCGTCATCGTCATTGTCGCTGCTTGTGTGTGTGGGTTGATCATAACACCAGCTGTCCACCTTAACAGTCTTTGGCTTTGGCTTTTCCCGTATATGTATGTAGGCTGTGCTTCTCCGTCCCCACGCACAAGCGAGCAATAGTCAGAGTCGCAGTCGCAGTCAGCAGACATGCGCCTACCTCAAATTTAAGCGATAATCTCTCGCTTAATCATATACATATATACATATGTACGAGTATGCGCGCAAGCTTACATCATCGCCGGCAACAACACCAACCCAGCCCACACAAGAGAGCAGAAAAGTCGGTTGACTGGCGTAAGCCGAGGCCAAGCTCCGTATAGTGCATCAATTTAGTTCGTCTGGAACGCCATATGGCGTTAGAAATGTACTTTTTCATCAGATTACGTCATTTCCAAGACAAACTTTTTGCTTGTTTATTTGTCGTAAACAATAAAAAATACCTCACCTCAAAAAAAAAAAAAGGAAGTAAAATTAAGGGAATAAATAAATACAGTTGCTATGATGACCAAAATTACCCTCAAACAAACAACTGCATCTTAATTGTGTCTGCGCCTACAACAAAAACAAATATAACTACTTCTCATGCATATCGACGGTAAATATCGTAGGAAAATATAAAATAGTTGCAGCTGCTGCAAAAAGGGGGTAGTTTTCTATGTATTACGAGGACAACAATGGCTGTATTGATTCTCCGAAAGGACGTCGATGACGAAGCCAGCTCGCAATGGGTTTGCCGGCAAAAGAGCTTATACGCATGTGCATGAAAACTGGCAACACTGCCTTTGGGTGTGTCATATGTAAGTAGATATATATATATATACAAATATGTAAATGCATATGAATGCATATATGTACATGTATTAGAGCACATCGACGCTTTATGTGTGTAATAAAAATAATTACTGTACTATTACGGGATTGAGGAATGCTAGTTGTTCTTAAAAAGCAAACAAACAAGCAATGCAAATAATTATTTGTGTATACAATGATTATTTACTTATCTGCTTGTATAAAAATATTTGCAATTAAATAACTTTGATAAAGTACAATTTTTTTTTTTTTTTTTTTGTCGAATGACCGCATGAAATAACTAAAACTTCATTTATATATGTATGTATATATACATTCAATGCATACATATGGATATATTGTATATACATGCCGCTACACAGATGTGGACGTATGTGCATATACAATCATATATACGTGTATGTATTTACTTTGTGTCATTGCGAACCGGTCGGCAACCGGTTCAGCCATTTTAGGTAAAATGACGTCATATTTTCTCTTCACCAAACTCCAGAAGGCACAGCCATATGAACAGAAAAGACTCGAACAACATGAATATTATATGTTAAACTAGCCCAGTCAAGAAACATTTTGATTGATCGGCTAAAAAACATACCTTTCACCAATTACAAACATACATACTTATACATGCATATACTTTTTCTTAGTTGCATATGTTTGTATGTATGTATGGTGCCATACCATCTTAAGCGACTTTCTCATTGAAAGAAAAAAAACTAGAGCTATGAAGAAAAATGAGTCATTTACTCATATATAAATATGTGTACATGAAAATATGTATATCTCCATATATAAATATGTGTACTAAATGTAAAAATATCAGTTTAATCGATAAAAGTTAATAACATGAAGACACGCCCTAAAATTAATAGATCTAAACCAAAATTCTATATGCACAAATGTGTATATACACATGAATAAAGAAAAAACTGCATGAGCCTGTTTATTATCGTTATATGCTAGGTATTCATATGAATGAAATTATTTTTTCGTATATACATACATGCATAAATAGTTATATGCTATACAAATTTATGCGCCGATGCCGGTGGCCTCAATAATTTTTGCCACATGGCAGCGCAAAAATGACGCCATGTTTACTGGTAACTGTACTTCATTCTTATTTTAAACTCAATTAAGGAAATTCTTCTTAAGTGTTTGGTACATACCTTGGCACCGATTTGGTTACCGCACTGACCAGCTTGGATGTGTACAATTTCCCTCATTTTCTTTTTGTGTATATAAAACTGTAGACTTTTAACTTAAAAAATATTTCCTGCTTTGTATTCACAAACACACTTCTGCCCGCTTCACTTGACGAATACTGTCTGAGTTCTTCGGCGAAATCGCCGGTATAATATAACGTTGATGGCAAGTGTGACCAGACTATGCAAACAAATAATACCACCGCAATTGAATATAAGAGATTAAAGGTTACACTATGCGTACACAAATACGTCATAAATGGACGTAGCGACCAATATGGATATATATTTGTATATTAATAATAAGTTTATATTAAATCCTGCACGTCGATCTTATTCATTAAAATCTATGAATATACTCTGAAATATTTAAAAAGAGCATGTATAAGATTTAAAACTGACCTCAAACTAAAATTCTATAACTCTTCTTCTCTCCTGCGCTCTTTCGAATTTTCTCTTGATTATTCTCTCATATTCTCTTCCTTGAGCGGTAAAAATAAA